CATGTCCTTCATTAAGGTACACGTTCTTCACCGAAATCACATTTAAATTTCTATAATTCACACATAAACGAAGCGAGCCATCTTTCTTCTTGAGGAACAGTACTAGGGCCACTACCCGAGGCCTAGCAGGTTGGATGAAACCTCATTCAAGATTTTTATCAATAAATGACCTCAGCTCCTCTGGTTCCCATGGTGTCATCAAGTACAGTTTAGGCTTTGGGAGTTTTACTCCTGGCAAAATTTCAATACTGCAATCTGTTGAGCAAGGTAGGGGAAGCTCATCCGAGGCCTTTTCACTGAACACCTGCTTTAAGTCCCAATATTCTTCAGGAATTTTCTCCTCCCCCCTCAGGTTCTCGCTGCCCATAGATGCCAGCTCTGTGGAATTTTGAGGTTTTGGTTGAGATTGCCCCTTCCCTTCTGGGGGTTGGTCAGTGCATATGTGTAATGATCCCCTCCTCCAATCCACATGGGGGTTCCATTTTCGGAGCCAGGGCAAACCTAGTAGTAGGGGGCGCTCCATCCCAGGGGTGACAATAAAATACAAAGTCTCTCTATGCCTCCCCATCATCATTTCCACTGGTTCCGTTATGAAATGTGCAGGGCTACTCCCAGCTACTGATCCATCCAGTTGGCAAAATGCTATGGGAGTTTTTAAAGTCCTTAGCCTTAAACCCAGTTTCTCTGTGACTTCTGAACTGATTATACACCTTGTGCACCCAGAGTCTAACAAGGCCAACATTTCCCTTAATCTCACTGGGATGGTAATTGGGCCCTTGTTCGGACTTACCAGAGGGTCATCTTCCAATTCAGATTCACTTTCACCAGAAGAGGTCAGAGTTTCCAGCTCCTCTCCTTTCAGAGGGGTGATCTCTACAACCTCCTCCGTTTTAAGAGCCATTTCGTGAGAATTGACTGGAATTTTTTCAGGTTTTCTTCCTCCTCCTGGTGCCCCCTTTGGCTCTAGCTTGGCACAGCAGTCTGCAGCCTGGTGACCTTCCTTCCCACATTGGAAGCATGCAGTAGTCTTGGGTTTTGCTGCCAGCCCTCCCTTTTGAGACTTTGTAGCTTCTCGAGGGCTGGTGGGGAATGGCTTGCTCCAACCAAGGCCACCCCGGCATCTGTTTTGGGTCAGATCAATTTCCACTTCTGCTGCCAGCATGTACCAGAGCTGCAACTCACTGAGGTATCTTGTGGCAATGCAGCTCTGATAAACATCTTCGTTCAGCCCATCTTTAAAAGCTTCTATCAGGGCTCCCTGGGACCAGCCTCAAATATGACATGAAAGCTCTCTAAATTCCTGGGTGTATTCGGCCACTGATCTCCGCCCCTGATTTATGGTTTTCATCCTAATCCTAGCCTTACGTTCGGCTAGTGGGTCTTCAAATCTCGTGTGCAACACTGTCATGAACAGGTCAGTTCATGTCATTCTGTCATGAAAAGCTGCTAAATTTCCAATGCAGCACGGCAAGCCTTTCTGGCTATTTTTTCTAGCTACCATTTACAGTTTTACTTCTGCATTCTTGTGGGTGCTCTGTGGTTGGGTCTGGGAGGGTTGTTTGGGGGATCCTGGGGCTGGGGAAAAGTTGAATGAGAGTATGTTGGTCCCTTTCCCCCAGGTGAGAGCTGGGGGGGGAGTGGCTTCCTGCTTGGTGGGTGAGAGCAACTGGGCAAGGTGCTTTTTTTGCATCAAGTGGACATATTCTGATTATATTAGGATATAAGAGGAGCTGGATGTGACCCCTCTGCAGCAATAAGGGCTGATGTGAGTTTGAGGGTGCTGAGAGCAAATGCTATAGTGCCTGTAAAGCTCACATTGCTCTCAACAATCTGTCAGTGGAAGTAGATTTTTTTTTCCCTTTTAAAAGAAGAATGTTGGGGATGGGTGATGGAATGGTTCTCAGGGAAGGCAGAAGAGGGTGTCCTATTTCAGTGGTGTCGAGTAACAGGAGAAATGGGAGACAAGGGAGAGAGCAGGCACGGGGAACACGACCTGGGTGTTTAATACCAATCTCATGTTCTGCCCCATTGCACTCACTCATTTTCCTGGTCAGCAGATCTGTGGTGGCCCTGGTCTTAGACCGCTGCTTTTAAATGTGAAATCAGCTTGCAATAAGGCTAGCCTTGTTGCCGATTTGATCCTCGAAGAGAAGGCTGATCTGGCTTGTATAACTGAAACTTGGCTGAGCCCAGAGAGAGGCGTTCGTCTTGCAGAAATGTGCCCAGTGGGTTATTGAGCATGGCACCAGTCTAGACCACAGGGCCGGGGAGGAGGTGTGGCTGTTGTAATCAGAGAATCTCTAGTAGCCTCCAGAGGCACTGTTCAACAAGTCTCCGGCTGTGAGATCCTTTTTCTTAGATTGAGCTCAAGGGATCAGGTGGGGTTGCTGCTGCTGCCCTGCTGCATGGCAGCTTCCCTACCTGGGCTCCTGGACCTCACCGCAGGACTGGCAGTGGACTCGTACTTGGGACCCCTGGGTTGGGAAATTCTGCCCATATTCTTGCATGTAGGTGAGCACTTGCGCCAGGAAAAATCCCAGTTTCTGGGCATGTGTTAGGAATGTAAGTCACCTAACAGTTGGGTTGGAAAATATATAAACCAGGATAGACATTTTAATACTGTCTCTTTAAGGGAATGCTAAAATTGTAATTGGGTGTGGTTCCTCAAACAGCCATAAGGTGGAGCTAGAAACCTGGGTTTTTCTGTCCTTTTCTGGAGAGTGTTGCTGTTCCTGCATTGACTATTGCTGATCATCGTTAGTCTTGATTTGATGTGAATCTATTACTGAACTGTTTTTGATACTGGACTTTGTTATTGGATTATCCCTGGACTGAAAACTGACTGCTTTAACCATGAATGACTTGGACTGTTGGCTGAACTTTGCTTAATGTTTTTACTGGAAGTAAAAACCTACATTTTACTATACAGTGTATGTGTGTACTAGTTGTGTGTTATTCTTCACTACTCTCACTAGGTCTCGCTGTGTGCGCTCATTCTCCTAACGGGGAATTACCTCAACAGGGTGCCCAACAAATTTTACTCCCAGGGGTGGGGCCTTCCTCTGCAGTTATATGTCTCTGGGTTGGCCAGGGTTAATCCCATGTTCTGGGGTGGTTAGAGGTCGGGTACTTGGTATGACTGCTGGTTCTTCAGCTTGTCTCACTGCCCAATCATTCTCAGCTGGATCCTGGGTGGCGGCTCGAGTTCTCTCATTTTCTGGTTCCCTCGCTCTCCTGCGTTGGTGTCCTGGTGCATCCCTCACCTCGAAGTTCTCCAGGACTTCCCTCACGAGGCGATTTATGTATCGTCTCAGTCAGTCATCAGCTGGTGACTCCTTGCCCCATTCTTCCTGATCCAATAGGGCCTCCAGCTCCAATTTCTACCAGGGTTTATGATTACCCCAGGTGAGGGTTATTCCCCTGATTCTTCCATCCCAGCTGTCTCTTTTTCCTACACCTATAGACCACCAGGGCTTTGTGGAGGTTTCTCAGGCAGCTTCGCTATCTTCGATGGGGTGCATTGAGTCGGTGTCTGGCTGGGTAACTGTCAACGTTTCTCCCCAGCATTCAGCTTCCCCTTGATCCTTGCTGTATTCAGACATTTTTCTTTTTTTGCAGGGTCCCCTCAGTAGAGTGAAGGTTTTTTTTAAAAAAAATTCCTCTCCGGGCTGACCTCTATTGCAGATGCTGCTTTATGTCAGGCTACAGAACTTCCCATTCAATCAACAAGAATGAACTTCGGAAAATGAAACATATCAAAAGGAATCCTTCATTGAGATGAGACAATTCATGGAGGGATTAAAAGCAGCATCTAATGTGCCTCAGGCATGCAGGGATAGATAAGGGGGTTGAGACCCCTCCCCTTCTCTTGATGTGTATTTAGTAAAACAAAGAGCCAACATATTTATTCCCCCCCCCCTTCTGAGAATGATCTTTTTTGAGGTTCCCAGGAGACATCTCCCAGCAGGAATTTTTATGGTCTTTTCATCCTGTGGCTGTCTCTTTCAGAGGTGATAGGTTTCCTGGTATCTGGTTTCCATTCCTCCATAGTATATCATGGGTTATCCAAATTCAATATAAGATTTAATATATTCATGTTACATCAAAAAGGATTTCTTATACCAACTTCCCCCCCCTTCTTCTTTCAAGAAGAATGGCAGATACACAGATCTGACATCTAATATCCTAGTAGACCATCACTTAGGTATAAGCCAACAGAATCCTGCAGTTGTCAAAAAAAACAAAAACCAAACCAGCCCTAGGTTGCATCAACAGAGGGATAGTTTCAAGATCACGTGAAGTGATAGTATCACTTTATACTGTACCGGTGTCACCACACTTGGAATACTGCATCCAGTTCGGGACACCATGATGGAAAAAGATGTTGAGATCCTAGAAAGAGGACAGAGAAGAACAACAAAAATGATAAAGGTCTGAAGGCTAAACCATCTGATGGACAATTGAGGGAATTAGGTATGTCTAGTCCACAAAGAGGAGGGTAGGCGTGATTATGATAGCAATATTCTAGTACTTAAGGGGTATTTTGGGAGGAAGGGGTGGAAAAACTATAAAAAGTGCAAATGGCAAAATGGCATTATGACTTCACCCTTTTATGGTCATATGAAATCAACACATGTAAAAAGGTGTATTTCTTTCATCACCTTGTCATGCCTTGGGTGGGTGGGTGGATAGATGGATAATGGATAGATAAATGGTAGATTGATGATAGACAGACAGACAGACACTGTTAGATTACCTCTCCTTCCCAGATATCCTGTTCTAGGAATTTTCTTGTAACAGAGGGTAGTGTCCTATGTTTTAATAAATTCCTCTCTCTTTCAGTTCTGAATAGTGTATCTCTGCAATTGTCTGTTAATCTCTACAATGTAATCTTACTATTCCTAAATGTTGCTTTTGCAGATTTAAACATAAAATTTGGAAACTGACTAATTCAGACACTGTACCACTTTTTTCACAATTTGACTTTGGTTTGTCATTAGGAATTGCTCTGGCTGCACTGGACAATATGAATCCTTCAGAGCAGATGGTGGTGAAATGTGCAGCTGTCATTGGTGTGACATTCACTACAGAGATGCTCCTTTATATTCTCCCGGAATGGACAAAAAGGAAAATGTACCAAACTCTGGCAGCACTGGTGGAATCCCGTATCTTTAAGTGTTGTACTGAAAGAAAAGAAGTGAATGTAACCCAGCACATGTTATCTAAAGAGTTCAGCATCAGCAATAATGAATTGAAATCACATAGGCCAGAATCGGGTAAGTTGGTTATTGAAAAATTAGAAATCTCTGAAACACCAGTTTACCCAAAGGGCATGGAAATGATTGAACAACATTATTGCATTCTATGCATCAAATTCATGTTAAATTGGTGCTGAAATCTTAAACGTTAGTACTTAACTTTGCTTTTTATAGGAACAAAGGGAACACACAGTAGTCAAATAAAATCAAGTAATATTTTATGATATGTCTGTCTTCATATAAATCCTTGACAAGTAAATTATAGCACCCACTCACCATGTTCAGATTGTGTTCACTAACATAATTGGAATAAGTATCACAAGAAAATTAGTTGCTGTAGTCATGTTCTTAAATCTAATCAGAAATAGAACATTAGCTATTCCTACACAATGGTAGATTTATGCAGGATGATTTCATTCTTTGATGGTGCAAATACTAAGACTACCTTATTTTTCAGATCTTGGATCAGTTATTTCCAATAGGCTCAAGCTAGAAGAGGCTGTGATGCATTGCAAAATCATGGAGTTTTGCGCACCACTGTTGCAAGAAGCAGCTTATGAATTGTGGCTTAAGAATCAGAAAAAAGCCTTGCATTTCAAATGTGCCAGTTATCTGAAGTGGCTAGCTCACCGATGCAAGTGTTGTGGGGAAGGTGATTTCATTCCTTATCATCGGTATGCAGTAGATGGCATGCTTCAAAAATTCTATTCACAGGAAGATAAAATTAAGAATATCAAAGAGGATGTGTTGAATGAGGCTGCTGTGATCCTTGTTTCAGAAACCCTTAAAAAATTGGAAGCATCCCACCAGGAAGGTAGGTATTAATTTGATGGTGCTGGTACAGCAACCTCAACTCTCAGTTTAAATATTTTCCTTGAAAACTGCCAAAATAGACTCTCACAAGTTAGCAGAGAACTATAGAAATTGTAGTCATTTTTGTGGAAAGCTCAAATATCAGTACAAGAACAATACATAAGAAGATGTCAACAGAAGTAAATAACAAATGAATCCAGAATGGATTTGCAGAACCACAAAGCTGAAAAGAGATGATTCCAAGTAGTCTGGTTCAGTCATCTCTGCTTGGTGTGTTTTACACAGAAGTTATATTTCCCCCTATTTGAATAGGTTGGCATCATTGTTTATTTACAATGGAGAACCCAGTCTAGGCACTGGGCAGAGCTGAGATTAAGAAATATGTCTTAAAACTGTGTCTTTCTTTTTCCATTTACAGCATTTAACTGCAGAAGTATTTTCCATTTGTGTGTGTGTATCTGTGCCCATGTTTTGGGAATAGACAATTCTCAGTCATCAGAACTGTGCTCTAAGGCTGCTTTCCATACATAATACCAAATTATCTCTCTGTACATTTTTAAATGAATAAAACTAATGCAAATTTTGAAAGGAAAAAGTAAAGAAAGTGAAGTGAAAAAGTGCAAATAAAGAAACAGAGAAAGAAAAAAGAAAAGGAGTGGAAAGATGATAAAGATGCAGCTTCCAAGCTTATCAACAGCAGTTACAAGTATATTTATATTTTATGTCCTCACCCTAAAATTACAACTTGATTTCCTTTTTTCCATAGTCTACCCTTTCTTATCATCAAAGTTCATGTTTTTCTTGTTTCAGCAAAAAATCCATAAGGGTGTAATAACTTAGCAATATCTTTGAAATCTTGCTGCTTATGTGTGAGATCTCAAACTACAGTAAAGTAGTCTTCAGGTCTCTATCTATTTGGCAGGTGCTGAGAATCAAGAGAGGAAAAATGCATTTTCATTATCACATAAGAAAGGACTTTTCCAAAAGAGAGGTAAAAGTCAAATTATCAAATTATCCGAGTGTTGTGTCTCCGAGTCCTGAGCCTGCATTGTTAGAGGAAGAGGACTCGGAAGATGAGGAGGAGGAATTGGGAATGCCTTCCTCCCCAGGACCTTCCTCTTCGGCAATGCCTTCCTCCCAGATAATACCTCAGGTTTCAGCAGATAACCGAGAGGGACAGCCTGAGACTAATCAGGAGGAGGAGGGCATATCAGAGCAGCCTCTGACAGGGAATCAAGTAGACGAAGGTTGTCTTGATGCTAGGCAGCGTCGCAGGAAGAAGTGTGAGCTGCAGCGTAAGAGGCGTGGACGAATCAGAGAGTGAGCTGAGTCATGGAGACACACCCCACAGGGGATAAAAGTGGGTGTGTTTTCTCTGGAAACTCTGTACGGGACAAAGTGTTACCTTTTCTGTCAGGCCTCGGTGTATTTTGTTTCTTGAAAGCTTTAGTGATTAATGTTTCTGGTTATCTTGTCGGACTTGGCAGGCAGCGTTTGTGATAATGCCAAGAACCTTGTCTGCTTAAAGGAATTAACTCTGTAAATACTGAATCTTCTTGCCTGTCTGTATTTTGTCGGAGTTTGGACTTTTCATCTTCCTTGGAATGGTGAGACATAACATTTTTGTCCCGTACCAGACTTAAACCATCTTTTGCCCAAGATGGACCAGCAGCAGCAGCAGCAGCAGCAACAGCTGCAGAATGAAAACCAGGCTCTGCAACAGCAGGTAGCCCAATTAATAGCTCAAATTGCTCTGCTGCAGGCTCATGCTGCTCCTCCTGCCCCTCTCCGTCGGAAATGCCCGGTGGCTGTGCCGGATAAGTTTTCTGGGCAGCCTGAGATGTTCCCGGCTTTCATGGGACAGTGCCAGTTGTTTATGGCTGTGAGGCCAGAGGATTTCCCAGATGACTGGGCTCGGGTAGGGTTTGTGATAAGCCTCCTTTCTGGCTCGGCTGCCAGATGGGCCACACCTTTGTTGCTCCAGAACAGCCCGTTATTAACAGATTACCAGGGGTTTTGGCAACACATGCGCCACATGTATGAGGACCCCATACGAGTGCAGATGGCAGCCAGGCATCTGAAGGAACTTCGCCAAGAGAAGCGCCCCCTGCAGAAATTTATTTCGGAATTTCAGCTTGTATGTCTGGATTCCAATTGGAATGATACAGCCTTAATGGACGCCTTCCAGGATGGCCTGTCAGATGAGCTGCAGGATGAGTTAGTTCGAGTGGAACCAGCCCCGACCCTCGACGCTCTGGTGGTGCAATGCTTGCGCATTGATGCCTGACTTCAATGGCGCAAGACCCGTCGCACCGTCCAGGAGCAGCCAACCACATCTGTACTACAGCACCCTGTGCAACCAGCGCCCCGGGTCACCCAACGTGTCGTGGCAATGGCTGAGGAGCCAATGGAGTTGGGAGTGGTCAGACCTCACCTGACGGCCCAGGAGCGAACACGGAGATGCCAAGGAGATTTGTGCTTGTATTGGGGGGGGCAGGACATTTTGCTACTTGTCCTATAATATAAAGCAAAGGGGGGCACTCAAGCCTGTCCCTGAATCTCGGCCTGATCAGTCAGGAAATGGGGCAGGCCCGACCTTGGGGGAAACCCTTGGCCGGGCACGTATCAAACGCCTGCCTGAATTAGCGGAGGTTGACTCTGGGCCCCCTCGGCATCTGCTTTTGGACACTCGGGTTTTCTTGGCTAACCAGTCAGAAGGGATTTCAGCGACTGCATTGGTGGACTCGGGGGGGCCACAACTAACTTTATGGACCAGGACTTTGCGGCCCATTTTGATGTCCCCTTGGTTCCGGTAGACCCTCCGATGAGGGTCGAGACTATTGATGGGCGGGAACTTCTTGCAGGACCCATTAAATTCGCTACCCAGCCTTTGCACCGGGTCATTGGAGACCATGAGGAGGCGATCTGCTTTTATGTCACCGCGGACCTCCATTTCCCATTAGTCCTCAGCACGGCTTGGCTTCGGATTCATGATCCTCAGGTGGCATGGTTGCGAAACGCCATTTCTTTTCCAAGTCTGCAGTGCGTGGACCACTTATGCCACACCTGTGCTGGCCAGGACATCACCACCCCTGCCGTCTCCATACCTCCTGAACTGATGGATTTTTTGGATGTGTTCAGTGAGAAGGAGGCAGACCGGTTACCCCCGCATCGGCCCTATGATTGTCCAGTGGACCTTCTGCCCAATGTACCACTGCCAAAGGGACATTTATACTCCATGTCCAAGCCCGAGTTGGCCGCCCTACGGGACTTTTTGGACAAAAACTTGGCCCGAGGGTTCATCCGGCCTTCGTCGTCCCCTCTCTCAGCCCCAGTTCTCTTTGTCAAGAAGAAGACGGGAGACTTACGCTTGTGCTGCGATTACCACCGGTTAAATGCCATCACAGTGCAGAATAGCTACCCCTTGCCGCTCATTCCAGAGTTGTTGGAGAGGTTGCGGGAGGCCACTATCTTCACCAAGCTCGATCTTCGAGGGGCCTACAACCTGGTGCGGATGTGAGAGGGGGACAAATGGAAGATGGCATTTGGCACCTGATACGGCCATTTTGAGTACACTGTGATGCCGTTTGGGTTGACCAATGCCCCCGCGGTCTTCCAGCACCTGATGAATGACATGTTTCGGGACATGTTAGATCGGTTCGTGGTGGTGTACCTGAATGATATTCTGATCTATTCCGGGTCCAGGGACAGCCACCTTCACCACGTTAGTCTGGTTTTGCAATGCCTTCGGGAACACCAACTTTATGCAAAGTTGGAGAAATGTCTTTTCTTCCAGACTTCCATAGAGTTCCTTGGGCACATCATCTCTCCCGAAGGCATCGCCATGGACCTGCGTAAGGTTGAGGCCTTGTGTAGTTGGAAACCCCCTCATCGCGTGAAGGACGTTCAACGCCTATTGGGGTTCGCTAACTATTACCGGACCTTCATCCCGAGTTTTGCCAAGCTGACAGGTCCAATAACCCAGCTCCTTCGAAAGAAGGTTCCGTTCCAGTAGGCCCCCCCCCGCAGCAACAGGCTTTTGAGGCCCTCAAGAAGGCCTTCATCGCAGAACCTGTCCTGAGGCATCCTGATCTGCATCGTCCTTTTGTGGTGGAGACGGATGCGTCCAACGTGGCTATTGGGGCTGTGTTGTTGCAAGCCCCGGCGGATAGCATCACTCTTTTTCCCTGCGCTTACTATTCCCGGAAACTCACTCCTTCCGAACACAATTACACCACCTGGGAAAAAGAGTTGCTGGCTATCAAGGGTGCATTTGAGACTTGGCGACATCATCTTGAGGGGGCCCGACACAAGGTGGAGGTCTGGACGGACCATCGGAATTTAGAACACTTGTCAACGGCACGAAAGTTGAACCAGCGGCAGATCCGGTGGTCATTGTTTTTTGCCCGGTTCAACTTTTTTGTGACCTATATCCCCAGTGGTCACAATCGGAGGGCGGATGCCCTGTCCTGCAAACCTGAGTACCTTTGCCCCGAGGACCCAATTCCTCCACGGACGGTGCTGCCAGCAGAATCTTTGGCCATAGTCCAGGAACCGGTGGATTTGCAGACTCAGGTGCGAGAGGTGCAGCGCCTAGACGCTTGGTCGCAGCAGAAGATGGGGGACTTTGGACTTTGGAGGAGGGCTTACTCAAGCATCGGGGCTGGTTGTACGTACCCACAGGGCCGCTTCGAGCCCTTATTATGACTCAGTGTCACGACAACCCTGCAGCTGGCCATTTTGGGTTTTTTAAGACCCTCCATCTTGTCACGCGGACTTTTTGGTGGCCTCGAGTATGGCATGATGTCCACGCCTATGTCACGTCCTGTGTAACGTGCAGGCAAGTGAAAGCCATGACGGGTGTGCCTCCTGGTCTTCTCCAACCTCTGCCAACTCCAGAAAGACCATGGGGAGCAATTTCCATGGACTTCTTGACTCATTTGCCATCATCTTCGGGATTTACGACTGTGCTTGTGGTGGTCGACATGTTAACCAAAATGGCCCACTTTATTCCGTGTTGTAAATTGCATTTGGCCCGTACTACTGCCCGGTTGTTTTTGCAGCATGTTTTTCGTCTCCATGGTCTGCCAGACAGGGTAGTTTCTGATTGCGGTGTCCAATTTACAGCCCAATTTTGGAAGAGCCTGATGACCGCGTTACAGGTGCAGGTCTGCTTGTCGTCGGCGCACCATCCAGAGACTGACGGTGAGACGGAGAAGGTTATTGGCATTCTAGAACAATATTTACGTTGTTTTGTCAATCAACGACAGAACAATTGGGTTGCTTATCTCCCTCTGGCGGAGTTTGCCTTCAACAACTCCCAGCATACCTCCACCCAGATGACACCATTTTATGCGAATCTGGGTTTCCATCCGCGGTTATTTCCGTTGTCACTCTTAGATTCCCCAGTTCCCGAGACCCAGGAATTCCTGTCGGAACTACATTCTGTTCAACAATTAATTCGACAGCAATTGATACGGGCCAAGGAAGACTATAAGAGGTTTGCAGATCACTCTCGATGGGCGATGCCTCCGCTGGCTGTGGGAGACCATGTGTGATTGTCCACAAAACATCTTTGGGTCGACCGCCCGATAAAGAAGCTGGACCATCGGTTCATCGGCCCCTTTCCCATCGAGGTGGTCATCAACCCCGTAGCCTATCAATTGACTCTACCGCGCTCCATGCAAATTCATCCTGTCTTCCACCATTCCCTTTTGATCCCAGATGCCCCTTCATGTGATCTCTGACCTCCCGCAGCTGATGATCCATCACCTGTATCCGATGATGATAATGCAGTTGATGGCACAGTGGTCAGCATTCAGGATTCCCGCTGGTTGAAAGGACGGTTCCAGTATTTGATCGAGAGGCAGGGGGATGGACCAGAGGCCCTTTCCTGGGTGGATGCTTCCACATTCCACGCCCTGGACTTTATATGGAGGTTCCATGACCAGTTCCCCTTGAGACCACATCCTGACCGTCAGACTCGGGGGAAGGGCCCTGTGGTGAGGGATAGTGTTGTGGCTCCGAGTCCTGAGCCTGCATTGTTAGAGGAAGAGGACTCAGAAGATGAGGAGGAGGAATTGGAAATGCCTTCCTCCCCAGGACCTTCCTCTTCGGCAATGCCTTCCTCCCAGATAATACCTCAGGTTTCAGCAGATAACCGAGAGGGACAGCCTGAGACTAATCAGGAGGAGGAGGGCATATCGGAGCAGCCTCTGACAGGGAATCAAGTAGACGAAGGTTGGCTTGATGCTAGGCAGCGTCGCAGGAAGAAGTGTGAGCTGCAGCGTAAGAGGCGTGGATGAATCAGAGAGTGAGCTGAGTCATGGAGACACACCCCACAGGGGATAAAAGTGGGTGTGTTTTCTCTGGAAACTCTGTACGGGACAAAGTGTTACTTTTTCTGTCAGGCCTCGGTGTATTTTGTTTCTTGAAAGCTTTAGTGATTAATGTTTCTGGTTATCTTGTCGGACTTGGCAGGCAGCGTTTGTGATAATGCCAAGAACCTTGTCTGCTTAAAGGAATTAACTCTGTAAATACTGAATCTTCTTGCCTGCCTGTATTTTGTCGGAGTTTGGACTTTTCATCTTCCTTGGAAAGGTGAGACATAACATCCGAGCATTAGCATTTCCCTGTCTGGTGCCTCCTCCCAGCAAACAGGAAGTGGAGGGTGCCGCTGCTGCACATGAAAGCGTGCAGGAGAAAGTTTGCAGTAAGCCGTTCCCTCTGTGTCCAACTTCTTCCTTGACAGATCTTGGAGAAAAGGAGGGGGTAGAAGGGGAGATGCACAGAGATGGCTGGACAAGCAAAGCAGCAGGAGGAGGGCAGGGATGGGATTAAAAAATCCCAGCAACCGGTTCGCTGCCCAGTTGCTAGGTGGGCATGGCCATGGTGGGCGTGGCCCACTGGAACTTCCTGTTTCCAGCTTCTGGTGGGGCTCCAGAGCCCAGGGGAGGCAGTTTTCACCCTCCCAAGGGTCTGGAGGCTTCCCTGGGCATCTGGAAGGGTGAAAACAGCCTTCCCCGGGCTCTGGAGAACCACTGGAAGCCAGAAACAGGGCTGTTTTGTGACTTCCAGTTTTAGTGGGAGGGCCGTTTTTCATCCTCCCAAGGGTCCAGAGGCTTCTCCCAGGCCTCTGGCCCTGGGCTCTGGAGGCTCTCCAGAAGCCGGAAACAGGCCCATTTCCAGACTTTCCCCCTCCCAGAGCCTCTGTATGGACCCTACACTTACCTCTATCGAAAATGAGCTGTTTGGAGATTCCTGGGAGGGGGGAGGGTAGGCAGGGCCAGCTGGTCGGTTGAAATATGGTTCGGCAAATCAGATGTAACTTTAACATCCGGTTCGCCCAAACCAGTCTGAACTGGTAGAATCCCAACCCAGGAAGAGGGTGATGCTGCTGCATGTGGCTAAATCATAAGATGAACAGTTGCAGAAACTGGGCATGGATAGTCTAGTGAAGAGAAGGACCAGGGGACGCATGATAGCAGTGCTCCAATATTTAAGGAACAATCCTCAAATGATCTCTAGCAATGCTGGTGGGCTCCAAAGCAATGCCCAGAGCCCAACAGGCTGCCACAGAGAGGAGGGGGTCAAGCTGTTTTCCAAAACACCTGAAGGCCAGACAAGGAATAATGGATGGAAACTGAACAAGGAGAGATTTAAGCTGGAAATAAGGAGAAATTTTCTGACAGTGAGAACAATCAACCAATGGAACAGCTTAGCCCTCGGAAGTTGTGGGAGCTGCATCACTGGAAACTTTCAAGAAGAGACTGGACTGACATCTGTCAGAAATGGTATTGGGTCTCCAGCTTGGGTGGGGGGTTTGGACTAGATGACCTACAAAGTCCTTTCCAACTCTGTTAATATGTAATTCTAGCAAACAGGATGAATGAGAGGGAGCTATATAATCAGTAGAATAGGTATCATAAGGGATTAATGGAATGTTTAGAGTAAGAAAGTTGCCATTTATGTGGATTTACTTTCATGACAATAGTAAGGAGCAATAGCAAGGAGACTTTGTTTCCATTCAAACCTCTTTATCAGCAGTTATTTGGTAAGCAAATCCTGTTACACTTCTGGCTTGCATGAATTGTTCCTTCAAGCATAGTCTGAAGCTCCTGGAATATTGTTTCTGATCTGGAAATAGAGAGAGGATTCTTTTAAAAGAAGATTGAATGTATGATTTTTAAAAATACAGTCCTGTTGAGTTGAAGCATAGCAGGAATTGATATAATTCAGCCAATTATTTTATTGGTAAAGTGTCTGAAACATTTTTCCAATATATAATTAATAAACTGTCTATCACTTGGATTACAGGCAATGAAAATGTATAAACCATAGAATCATAATGCTGGTAAGGCCCCCTAGGCCTTTGATTCTATTTGTCTTCTCAGTTCAAAAACCCACATTAAAGCATTCCAGGCAGTCACCTAGGCTGTGTGTGAATAGAATAAATCAGGTGGAGTCTTACAATTCTTTGAATAACTGACTCCATTGTCTGATAGTCATTAGCATGCATTAGGTATGAATTTCCTGCCATCTTTCTTCCATGTCAAACATGGAATAATAGAGGAAACAAGCCTGATTCTTGTAGCACCCACTTGATATGTCTCTCCAGTTTAAACAGGAATTACTGATGTATATCTTTTACATTTGATTTTGAGACAGTGAAGTACAGTATTAATGTAATTATCATACCACCACCAGTTAACTAACTTGCTAACCAGCATATCACAGAGTACTCTACTGAAGTAAAAAGACATCTAAAACATTTTAATAACTTGTTAAAGTTACTGAAATAAGAAATAAAGTTAGACCAACAAGTGTTGTTGCTAAGATAACCTTCATTTGATCTGATTTTTTTATCATCTGATATACCTGTCTTCTACATCGGAGGACTTCTAAGATTATCTGAAAGCTGCACAGTGCAAAATGCAGTGCTCACCGGTGCTTGTCAGTGGGTACATATTACATTTCTTTTATGGACTATGCCTCGGCTTCCTATTAAATTAAATGTAATTTAATTTTATGATTATTGCTGATTTTAACTTTTAAAGCCCTTTATGTAGGGGTGACAAACTCAAGGCCCACGGGCCAAATCTGGCCTGCAGGGTGCTTAGATCTGGCCCATGGAACCAGCCTGGAAATAGCAAAAGACCAGCCCGCAGTGCCTCTGCTAGTGAAAATGGGGTGCAGGGGCCCACACGCAGCCCCCCCCCATTCTTCACCTGGACAGACTCCTGTAAAATCCTGCAGCAACCACAATTCCCTCACTAATCTGCTTTCCAGCTCCATTCTCTGGCATGCAGGGAAACAAAAGAAGACCATATGACTACCAGTAAAAAAAGAATTCAATCAGATATATTTCATGATATATTTTTTTTCCCTGAGAAGTTGGAAGGTTTGATTGCACCTTTTTTAAACTGGTAATCTCATGGTCTTCTTTTTTGTCTTGCATGCCAGAGAACAGAGCTGGAAAGCAGGTTAGTGAGGGAATTGTGGTTGCTCTGAAGTGGGGTAAGGATTTTGTATTTTGATTGCTCTGGAGTGGAATGGGAGTGAGGATTTTGCATTATGATTGCTCTGGGGTGGAGTGGGAGTGAGGATTTTGCATTATGATTGCTCATAAGTAAGAACTAGTAAAAGAGGAATGGAAAAATCCCTATCTGTAGATCAGCATTTTTCAGTCTTGGCAAGTTTAAGATGGGTAAACTTCATGCTGCCTGGGGAATTCTTGGAATTGAAGTCCATGCACCTTAAAGTTGCCAAAGTTGAGAAGCATGGTCTACACTAGAGCTTAGGGTTTTTAATTCCTGTTTTATTTAGAGTTTGGTGCAATTAAATAAATCAGTTGTGGTTTCCCTAACAAATAGTGATTAGGACTTCTGGTTGTTCTTCTGTTGCATCGGAGTGGAATCCATGATCATGTGTGGTTTTGCTCTGTGTTCGCTTGTTGGAGGGTCCTGATTGAGATCAGAGCCACCCTGGAGGGTGGTAAAGAAAGTGGGGGCTGCTTGAAGGGTTGAGGAGAATTGCAACTCTCCTCCCTGACAAGATAAATCCCCTACAAGTTGCAGTGGTGGTCTAAAATGGCCACCATGAAGACAGGAGGCAATCTGGGAAACTAAAACTGTTCTGGAGCAGTGAAGTTGTAAGTGTTGTATGAACCAGGCAATATACATGGACATTAAGGTGCCCCAGAATTA